TCACACATACAAACGGGGCACTGAATAGCATAAATGCCAGATTTATGCAAAGAATCAATTGTGTCTTTGGTTGAACCCAACAAATTCATTATTTTGGTTTGATTCGTATACACAATGGTTAAATTATATTCACGAAACTTATTTTTTATCTTGTTCATAATTTGTGGGATATATGGCAAAGCAACTCTAACCCTTTCCACTTCTGGCGTGTTTTGCGAAAACAATGTCGATAAATTTTGTTTATTTTGTCTAAATGTTTTTTTATCAACACGTCGACCAAATCTCCTTTGAAGCCATTTATTTTCGCCATTTGTTTTATGCGAGCGTATTCAGTCATGTAATTTTGTGCTGAGAGTTTCATTCGACACAATCGATGAACCATTGAATGATACGCAGCCAATTTGTGTTGCATGCTACAGTTTGAATCACTAGTTATTGTTCTCAAGGTGTCAGTGGGTTTGTGGTAAATGGCAATATCAATTTTATTGTCCACAGAAGTTGACAATTCCATGTCCAAAAACGATAATTTACACTTATCATTCTCCCTCTAACACGTAAATTTAATCGAATCGAATCGATTATTGAGCACGTTTAACACTGACAAGGAACCATCAACTATGGTTGCGCGAGTTGAGCGAAACGGCATATGCCATAATGTAGGGCTTCGATAGACTAGCTTCACAGCACTCTCACTTTTTCCTCACCCGAACAACTTTTTTTCGCTACATCGATTTGAAAATTTCCATATATAGCCAAATTTTAATATTTTGACAACTTTAATTTTGGCCCATACTCGTCCCCTAATGATTATATCGTTTTAATGTCTTCAGAAAAGTTGTAGCCAAGAGTCCAAGTAACAAAATTTATGAACATTCTATACCTCAAAAATTGCATCTGACTAGGCTTATAGGGCAAAATGTCGAAAAAGGGCGATTTTTTCCATTTTTTCGACCATAACTCTTAAAAAATATCCATTTGTTGTTTTCTTTCTTCGGCATTATTGTAGTCAGCGTCGAACTAAACAACTCTCCTCAACACATTAACCCCAAAAAATCAAATCTTGCTCACTTTTTTGGCTCAAAGTCACTTGTCGCTACCAAACGATACTACGTAGCATCACCTACAGTTGTCCAGAACCATTGAGAGGATTTAGTAGTTTTTAGTACATTTTAGTACTCTTTTAGTACTTTTAGTACTGGGTCTGCAAAGCCCATGAGAAGTACTAAAATTTTGCTTCAGACACTTTTGCTCTATTTCGAGTAGATGAGAAGTTATAGAACTCCGAAAATGCTCGATGATATCGTTTGGTAGCGACAAGTGACTTTGAGCCAAAAAAGTGAGCTAGATTTGATTTTTTTGGATTAATGTGTTGAGGAGAGTTGTTTAGTTCGACGCTGGCTACAATAATGCCGAAGAAAGAAAACAGATTGTATGGAGAAGAAAGAAAACAGTACCGATGAAAAGTTGAAAACAATCATGAAAATGTTGTATAAATTGGATGTGTTTAACCAAGAGCAAAAGCCGCATATTGCCATCAATAATGAGTCGATCAGTTCATTGTCATCAAAATTGAATGTAATTTCATCGAAACTGGACTCAGTTAGTAGCTCCGGTTCTAACAGCAGCAACAGCAGTGGCAGCAACAATAACAGCAACAACAACAACAATGCAACAAGTGATACAAGCCGTCAAACAGCAAATTCGTATGCAAGTGTCGCAAAAAAAGGCAATGTGAAGCCAGCCGTGGTCATCAGGCCAAAAAATAGACAAGACAGCAAGAAAACATTTGAAGACATCACAAAAAATGTAGAAAGAGATGCAGTGAATGTATGTGGCACGAGAAATGTCAAAGATGGAGGAATTGTTCTCCGTTGTGTCAATGCAACTGAGACAATGAAAGTGAAGCAAATTGTGAGCGAAAAACTGGGCGATGATTATGAGGTGGTCTTGCCAAAGGTCAAGCATCCCAGACTTCGTATCACAAACATTCCGGTCGAATCACAGAAAGAGTTGGTTATCGAAGAGCTAAAAAAACACAACGAAACTATCCGAGGCATGGACATCAAATTGGTGACAGTAATAAACAAAAAAGCAACAAGTCGACAAACAGCATCGAATGAAATTGTTATTGAAATCAATGGAGCCGACTACAGTAAATTCATGGAATTGAAAGTGTTGAAACTGCCATGGAGAGAATGCCGGATTTTTGAACACGTTTATATGAAACGTTGCTACAAATGCCTTGGCTTCTCTCATATTGCTAATGACTGCAAAAATGAACAAAAGTGTAGTAAATGTGCTGGACCACACAAATTCTCCGAATGCAAATCAAAAAAAGTGAGCTGCGCAAACTGTCGTCATGCAAATGAGTCACTCAAACATAAAATGTCAACAAATCATCATGCCTGGAGTAAAGACTGCACAATTTATAAGCGGCGCATAGAATCGCTTGTAAACAAAATCGAATACAATGCATCGGAGTAGCAATCATCAAATTCTATCAGTGTTTTGTGCACAAATATACAAGGACTACGCAATAATTTCACCGAATTTAAATACGTTTTAAGAATTAAAAAACCAATGATAGTATTTCTAAATGAAACACTTGTAACCGAAGACTGTGATATTAGTGATTTGTACATAAAAGACTATATTTCTATTAATTGTTTGTCTCACTCTAAACATACTGGTGGCGTCTGTGCATTTATACATAAGTCAATTAAATATACAAATTTATCTGTGATTAAAGAAGACATTGCCTGGTATTTGTCGTTTGAAATTTTTATACATAAATCGCCGATTGTTATGGCGGGTATTTATTTATCATCCAGCGAAAATAAAAGTCTTGTGCTCGAATCTTTTGAAAGATGGTATGAAACTATAGCGGAAAATAAAACAATTGTGATATGCGGTGATTTTAATGTAGACATGAATTCAAACACCACACATAGCAGAAGACTAAAAAGTATTTGTGATGATAACGGACTTAAAATGTTCGTAAATACACCAACTCGTGTTACACAAAATTCGTCGACCCTCATTGATCTCTGTTTATCAAATATCGTTCCAAAAAAAATCAAGTGTTCGGTATCAATAGACAATCAAATATCAGATCATGCTATTATTGAAATGAATGTAATGGGGAAATATGAGACAAATACACAAAAAGTGCGACAAATCAGTGTTTGGAAAGACTACAATGCCATGAAATTGTGCGATACTCTCGAAAATTATTTATTTTCTTGGCAGTATGTGCAAAATGCATCAGTGAATGAAAAAATGGACTGGTTAATTGATATTTTAAGAAGAAGCACATATCAATTCCAAACAAAAAAATCAATCAAAGTTAATGATGATTTCTTTGACAAGGAACTAGAAATTATGAGAGTCATTAAAAATCAATTGTACAAAATAGCACAGTACGCAAATTCTAACTCAATTGAAAAGTGGCATGAATATAGAATATTTAAAAATGAATATAAAAATACGATACGACAAAAAAAATATGAATCAAATCAAAGAAAATTAAATCGAGTTAGTGGTGATACAAAGGGTATGTGGAAAGTGCTGAATTCCATATTATGTAAAGAGTCCAGTGAGATCACTTATATAAAAAACGGCGACCAAACATATGAAAGTGATGCAGAAATCGTAAATCAATTCAACGACTACTTTGTAAGCAGCATTGTACAGCTAAATGAGTGTATACCAGCTAGACGCTACGAGAATGATATAATTGTTGATCGAAATATCCGTTTTGAATTCCGTAATGTGTCAATTACGGAAATCAAAAATTGCCTCAGCGAATTAAAAGATAATACCGACGAGTTCTTCTTGAAACCGAGCGTGTTGTTAGACGCAATCTTTGTTATTGGTCGTCAAATTGCCAATATCATTAATGATTCGTTTGACAATGGAATTTTTCCTGAATCACTGAAGAGATCAACAATCATACCTATCCAGAAAAAAAGTGGCACTGTCCTCATCAACGAACATCGGCCGATAAATATGTTGCCATGCATCGAAAGACTCATTGAAAAGTTGGCTTTTCGACAGTTTAATGAGTATGTTCAAACAAACAATCTGCTCTACAAATATCAATCTGGATTTCGGGCACTACATTCCTGTGAATCTGCAATCAATGATGTGCTATTTGAATGGAGATTAGCACAAAATATGTCGAAAATTATCATCGCAGTATTTTTGGACTTGCAACGAGCATTTGAAACGATAGATCCTGATTTATTATTACAAAAATTAAGACAATACGGCGTTCAAGAAACATCACTTGGTTGGTTCGAGAGCTACCTCAAAAACAGACGTCAAACAGTAAAAATCGGCGATATCACTTCAAATGACCGTGAAAATAATTTGGGAGTTCCACAGGGCTCCATTCTTGGCCCATTACTCTTCATTTTGTACATAAACAATATCACCAAGTGTTTGAAGCATTGTATCGTTAAAATGTTCGCAGATGACACATTAGTGTATATAATAGCTGATAGTATAGAGGAAGCCATTCAAAAATTGAACGAAGATTTGGAAATATTATTTGATATACTTTGCCAAAATAAATTAAAGCTAAATGTAGACAAGACCAAATTGTTATTAGTATCAAACAAAAATGTCAACAAAAGTAATGTGAATGTATTCATTAATGGTTCCAAACTAGAATTAGTAACTGAAATTAAATATCTGGGTGTAATTATTGATGAAAATCTTAAGTTCGATAAAAATATCGATTATGTGTGCAAAAAAATTGGAAGAAAAGTAAATGTTTTGAGTAGACTACGACATGAATTAAATAGTCACCAAAAAGAAAACCTGTACAAATCACTAATTCAACCTCACTACACGTATTGTGCAT